CTATCGTAGACAAGAATTTTCCAGTGACGAGTATAACCAAATCGGCAGCGTAGGCGACAACCCTCATTCTCTTATGGCATTTTCTTTTCTATGAAAAATGTTGCCTTTTCATTGCCCTCACCTTAGTATTTGGTCGAAGAGAATGAAAAGATATTATTTTTCCGTAGAAAAAACACCATTTGTCTCTTCAGTATCTTCAGGATTTCAATCGTCATCACAAGCCAAAGATGAGGGGATAGTACCTCAGAACCCGATGACAATGCAATACGAAAGATGAGTTAGTCCGATAGGTGGCGCAGTACGATTGTTTTCATATTAAGAACGTGTATTAACTATGTGAAAAGGAATAACTCCACTTTTGCTGATTATGATCGAATTTCATTCATATCAGAAAGCTTGCTTTGAAAATATTTGTTTTTGCTATTAACTTACTTTATTCTAATTCAAATTCAGAAAGTACATATATATGGTCTACAAAGAACCAATGAGGGTTAAAAGAACTGTAAACACGTTTAAGACTAGTAGAGACGCTTGTGGTAGCTACAGGTGGATAGAATAAGTAACTAAATTAGGCACGATTGAGAAACCGTTTTTAGGAAACCCTATGGAGATATCACTGTTAGAGAAAAGAGAGCTACTTCTGCAGTACAAAATTTTTTATACCCGAACGAGCGCGCAAACGATCGATACGGATTCGCAGCTGCGTTTGGTGGCATTACGATGGGTCTATTTTAAACCTAAAAGTAGAGTTAGTAGGTATCTTTCCTTCAGTCGTTTCAGCATTACCTACCTAACCTATGCAGTTAGTCGAATTCCTCTCGCACAAAAAAAAAAGTCAATGCCGAAAAGTTGTACATGATGGCGTCCGACTTGAAATTGTCCAGGAATTAGCATCACTAAAGTTGATTAAAAAATGGTTAAATCTTGCCAGCATTTGAACTTAACTTTCTAAGCAACCCAATAATGTAATGAATTTAAAAGTTTTAGTACGAAATTAAAATTGCATTCATTGTTTAATATTTTTTTTTTGTGTTTACTAGCTGTTAAACATTTGTTCGCTTTACGGGAATCAAGAAAATTAGCGTTTAGCGACAAGCCCAATTGCAAAAAATAACGAAACCAGGTTACAAATCAGACATTTGCAGATAAAGAAGACATGACATATATACGCTCGGTAAAGCATTTGTATTAAAAACAAGAATCGAATACAACTGCAATAAGCAAGCAGCTAGTGCGCGATTATGATGACGATTTAGTCGTGTACAACAAGCAAAATGGGACAAATTTCCCAGTAAATTTTGCATACGACTAATAAAAGAATTGACGACACTATCAGCAAAATGTCGGTGCAAATTTTTAGTTGTTGTTCTCATTGTTGCAAAGACTGCTGTCATAAGCCAATTTGTAAGCTACAGCACTTTCGAATGTCGCCAGCAAAAAAAAAAGAAATGAATAAAAAAAAACAAAAAAACAATATACATATAAATAACGGGTGATTTTTTTGAGGTTAGGATTTTCATGCATTAGTATTTGACAGATCACGTGGGATTTCAGACATGGTGTCAAAGAGAAAGATGCTCAGTATGCTTTGACATTTCATCATGAATAGACTTACTAACGAGCAACGCTTGCAAATCATTGAATTTTATTACCAAAATCAGTGTTCGGTTCGAAATGTGTTTCGCAAACCCAATTGCTGCGAACGGCGACGAATCGACATTTCACGGTCTTCAGCAACACTCTCAGAAACAGACGCAATATTCTCTTCTGTACGCACTGTACGCATTCGTGTGGTTGGTTTAATGTCCAATAAAGTAAACTGAGTGCGAAACTTGGTCACAATCGCATTAATTGTTTGCTCACTTGGTCGATTATGTAGACCATAAATCGGACGTAAAGCGAACCGAACACTGATTTTGGTAATAAAATTCAATGATTTGCAAGCGTTGCTCGTTAGTAAGTCTATTCATGATGAAATGTCAAAGCATACTGAGCATCTTTCTCTTTGACACCATGTCTGAAATCCCACGTGATCTGTCAAATACTAATGCATGAAAATCCTAACCTCAAAAAAATCACCCGTTAGATGTGCCACATACTTCAGAAGTTAAGTAGTCGAATTGTTGTTGTCAAATGCAAAATGTACGATGCAATCATCACAATTGTTGCACTTTGTGTTGTTGTTGTTATAACCAAATTGTACGCTCTATGTATGTATGTTGTTAATTGTCAAATATATTTAATATGTTGCTAAAAGCGATTTGGGCGCAACACCGGCTACAACAATTTTTGGTAGTTTGTTGCATCCGACTCGTTGTGCCACAAATGTAGCAGGTACTTGCATACGTACATAAACACATAAGCTAAGTAAGTATGTAACAAATATTGGCAAGTAAGAGCAACAACAATTTGGAATTAATCAGATTTATACATGCTGCGCACAGCTAGAGTGTGTGTGTGTGTGTGTGTTTGTGTTTATATAGCATTGGCACAATTGACAGATTTTGTTTAACAATTTTTTCAGCAATTGAGAAATCAATTTTATGCACAAACAAATTCAAATATGTATGTACATACATATGTATGTATGTATGTAATAAAATATGTTTCCAATAAAAAAGGCGACTAAATGTACATATATAAATGGAAAAAGGAACCGGCATACACAATAATTGAATTACAAAGTGGTTGAGTGTGTTGGGCCAATTGCTGTGGTGACCATAGTAAATTTTTGTTAAGTTCAAATTGTATTTGCAAAGCCATCTTTTGCACGCAGCTTAGTGTAAAGTTCGGTTAAGGTTATGATTTTAAATGTAACAAAAAAGCAAAAATAATAATTAATTATTTCAACAAATATAATAATAAAATTCGACTTCAAACAGGTGGAAATCCTTTTAGAAATATTTTCGATTTCTTAATTCTGCTCCATTTGACATCGTTATTGTAATATTTCATTTTAAATATTTATGGAATGGAAAAAAGCCTTTGAAACAAAGCTTTCTTAAACTTTGTCATCTAAATTGTAATGTTTCATTTAACTTATTGACTCAATTTAATTTTACTTTTTAAAAAAGTGGCCACTCTCTTAATAAATATTTTCGAAATCGAAGTTCCTTAAACTTTTTTCGATTGGCATCCATATTGTAACGTTTCATTAAACTTTTTTCTTTTTTTTGAAAACGGGCAGCAATCCTCTTTAGAATTATTTTCGTTCATTTGGCATCCATTTTGTAAAATTTGGTTGAGTAAATTCAATTTAACTTTTTAAACATGTGGCGACGTTCTTAAAAAAAACTTTTTCTATGTGAATGTAGATCACACCCTAGCTGTGTGGCAAAACTCACAAACTTTCGCATTTATAATATTAGTAGCATTATTAGGATAACCGGTAAAAACTATTTACTTTATATAAAAAAAAGAATAAATCAGAAAGTAAATCGTGAGCAAATAGCGCTTTAAATCTTCTTCAAAAAAAGGCTCAGGCTGCAATTTTCAAGCTTTTAGTTAATTGCAGTCAAAAATCATACTTCAAATTCATAAACAAGTTCTTACTATTAATTCGCTATTTCAAATTTTCCGGGATCCCGGTATCCCAGTGATTTTAAGTTCCCGGGATCCCGAAAAATTTGCATTCCCAGTAGAGAGTGTATTCGGATTATCTATGATTATCACGACAGGGGCAAAATTTCAAATTTAAAATTTTTAAGTTTGAGAAACATTTGTTATTTTTGGAATCACTATCTTTATCAAAAACTTTCAAAAGGCCGAACGAGATCATAATTAAAACAGTTTTATTAATAATAATAATAGATTGGCGCTTACACATACAGTGACGAGCAAAACTGTAACATGGAGTAACACTTTTTATTTCAGCCGTCGCTATCTTTCCAAGTTCTAACTACATTCATACTGTTGTTGTATATTTTTATTGGTACATCTTTGCTTCCTCTGTCATAACGATTTGAAGTCAATTCAACAACATTAACAAAACCAGCAGACAAAAATGTAAATTAAGGTAAATGTTACAGTTTTGCAC